AACCAAATTTTTATTTTGTAACTTTTCAGTTTGTTAATTGAAAATGTTGTTGCAACCACAAAACTACTAACCCATGGTGGAAGAGCATCAGTTGGTCTTGGCAAAGGACCTGAAATCACAATCGGTTTGAGCGGTAGAGGACCAATTAATGCATCTGCATTTGCAGTCAATGTTGAAGAACTGGAGTGAAATGCTAATGTCAGAGGGCATGCCTGTTTCAATAACTTATGTACTAGAGCAATCAAAAGCAAGGAGACAGGAACAAAGAACCGACAACTTGGGTCAAAGTAGAATATAGGATTTACTGATATTTAATGTTTTTGTAAATGAAACAATACTATGGGATGTGTTTGTTTGTATTTAAGCTAAGGAAGATAGACACCACTTACGAGTATAGTTTTTGTATTTAGAGTTATTGTTTTTTGAGAATGGTTTTCAAATGCACCAACTTTTGTAAATGGATTGTATTGAAAATCATTGTTAGCATACTTCTGTAAATGGATTGGTATTGAATAGCATTGTCAATCTCAGATTTTTTTGTCATTTTTGTTCCATTGTTCAAGTGCATTGATTTGGAATTAGGCCTGTTGTTCTTGCAATCACTCATTAAGTTACATTGCTTTAAGTACTACAATCAATTTTGTTTGTGTGGAGTCATTTTAATGCTGGTTGTTTATTTGCATTGGAATACAGTTAAAAAAAAAATTAAGAATTTGTTGATTTTTTTCCAATTAAACTCAGTAGGGTTTGTGTTGGAAATTTTTCAATGCATTTCATGTTGCAGTAAAAAAGAACATACAAAATCCACAAATTTCATAAACATAATTTCATTGCTTTCAAACATAACATCAAGTACTAAAGCACCTTACAAATTCTTACAATTATTTCATACTGAACATTAACATGGGAATGAAACACACAAGCAAACCACCAATAGATGTCTTCATCATCATGTTCAGTGTCTCTAACTTCATCTCTAGCTGCATCAGTCTGCTTAAACTATACACCTTCCTCAACTCTTGGCTTCTCATCATCAATCTCATCTCTTCCATAGATGGGAGCATATCAACTGGGTTGCACCAAGCTCAGAAATCACAACCCCCCAAACCCGCATTTTCACAACATAGTACAACCTACCTTTTGAAGACTCCTCGGACTCCATGATTCTAATGGCTGCTTTTCTTCCATAACGACATTTTTTGCTAATGAACCTCAACATTTGTCCTTTCTCACCTCCAATGCTGGAAGATACATTTTTTGCCTGGGTAGACTAGCCTGCAACCAACATAAAAAGTAAGGAGCAATATAAAGCAATCTTCTTGGGTAGCGCTTTTATGTTTACCCTAGGGGGCATTTTGGTCTTTTATCATGAGGGAACATCATCAGTTCATGCCCAATTGCACCACACGCATGTACTACTCACCAGTTAGAATAGATAGAAAACCTAACTGTGCACATTAGTCCATCACCACCAACGGGTTATGTGATGATTAGAAAGTCAAGGGGGTAAATCCGCACATGGCTTAACCATAGGGGGCAAAGTGAAATTTGCCATAACATTAAAATCAAATAAATACTATAAACAAAATTGTAAAAAACATTCATTTCTAACTTTTGTGTCGTAAGAGAGGTCCAAGATATTTTTTAGGGAAATCAAAAAACACCCCTAAGGTTTGCTTAAAATACAGATGGTCCCTGTATTTCGAAAATTACAAATCCTCTTTCAGAATTTTTTATTTAACAGAATTAACTAAAAAATAAAATTCATAATTGCTTTCTAATACAATAATAAAATTACCCAAATTATTATGAAACATTTTTCTAATATCATTAAAAACTTTTAATTGATTTCATGATTTATTTATAACAGGGGCAATTTATTGTGAAATTAGAAACCTCAGGAGAATGAAATTGTAATTTTCAAACCACATGGGACGATCCGTATATTTAATCAACCTCAGGGAGTGTGTTTGTAATTTAGCCTTTTTTATTAGTTAAAGTCTCTCAATATTTTACAAAGAAAAATTTGACTCAGAGAAATTTCGTCTGACTCACCGAAAATTCAGCCCGATTCTAGAAAATTCAATTTTCACAGGAAAATTAAAAATTTTTTGGTATGATCACAGATAATTTTTGAAATTTCTCTGTGAAAATTGAAATTTCTCTCCGAGTCGAGAAAATTTCTCTAAGTCAATTTTTTTCCTGTGAAAATGCTGAGGGATCTTAACTACTACAAAATATTGTAGTCCTTTATCTTATAAAATCTTAATATCAAGGACCTTAAAAAAAAATTCTATTATAATTAGTTTGTAATGAATTAGTACAAATATATATATATATATATATATATCATTATATTCTAATTCCAACTCTCAGTTTTGTTTATAAAAAATTTCTTCTTTTCATATACTTAGTTGAAGGGGGCGTTGACAACAATAGTGACACTTATAGGTCCGTTTGTTTTTTAAGGATAGAATGGAGGGGATTAATAGTGAGAGGATTAAAGTGAGTGAATTCTTAGTGAGGGGATTGATAGTGAGGATTGTTAAATTATTTTTATATAAAATAATAAACCAAAAAAATAAAAAAATCAAACATTATATTTTAAAAAAAAATTCCCAATATAAAAATAAAAAAAATAAAAAATATTTATAATCCCTCATATTTTTTTAATACCATCTCTACTCCTCCTTACCAATCCCCCTTCCTCCTCCTTACTATTCCAAGGGATTACTAATCCCCTCCCTATCTCTCAAAACAAACACCTCATTCCACCCGGTCCCTCCTCACTACCAAACCAATCCCCTCCCTAACTCCAACAAACGGGGCCATAAAGTATTGGCGGTGATAGTGCAGTAAGATATGGGCCTTGTTGGGAAGTGGCTATTTTAGAGGCTTTTTAGTTTTTTGGGTATTTTAGTAGGCTATTTTAGTTTTTGTGTTTGGGAAGATGGATAGATTTTTATTTGAGTTGATGTATGAAAAATTGTTGAAATGATGTTTGTAATTAAACATGATATTTTATCCCGTATTCTCATATTTTTCAAAGTAAATCAATAGGGCAAATTGTAATTCTACTACCTGTCACATGCCAGCTACCACTGTCACAGTGACAGCACTACCGCCTAATTTTTTTTTTTTGTTTTTTTAACCTTTGATGTTGAGGCTTTTAGGCTATTTGTTTTGGAGGCTATATTAGCCTAAACCACCTCTTCCCAAAACAGCACCATGATGTTCAAAAGGTTGTAGTTTCAAATATGTTTCCACCTTTCAAAACTAAAAAATATTTTCTTCCAAATGGAGCATTAGATGAGTATTTTCTATACTAAATGTATTCTTATATAAATTAAAAGAAAATTAGGATTGGTCTCTTAACAAGTTGTCCATCAAGTTCTAGTCTACACAAATTTGTTTACTAGTTAAAATTATTCACCTTTCTTGTTTCCACTTTTTAAAAAATATTTTTTAAAAATTCTATT